TTTAGTATTTTACAGTATATATATATTTAATTATCTTATTATTTTGTTGATAATTTTTGTTGCCCCCAGGGCGCTCCTTGATAACAGCTGTTTGCTGACGAGCTTACCCTGGTAAAACATGTAATTATTATTATTATTATTATTATTATGGATGCATGAAAAAAAGTAAGCTAAATATTATATTTAAGCTATACTTTTAGCGAGAATTACGGCGAGTTTTGAAGTCAAATAACAAACTTTCCTACTTCCTAATGGAGTGAGAAAGAATTCAAATGCCTGGGGGTTGCCGTAGAGGGTGAGAAAGGGCAGAAAGAAGGAGGGGGGAAAGATTGTTTTAAGCTAACCGTGGTATGTTGACTGTCGTTGAACGTCGCCATCTTCATCATCGATCACTCGAACATGTTGACCTTTGTTTTCTTCGAGATACTTCTTGAGCTCAGAAACTCGCTTGGTTTTACCAGAACATGGAAATCCCGTCAGGATTACGAGAGGCATTTTGACGGATTAGATTCAAATGAAGAAAAACATAAAAATACACTCATTCGTCCGCCATGTTGGATTTTACTAGAGCCTAGTCTTTCTCAGTAATGTCTCTACAGGGAACCCAATATCAAAAATTCTTTGGGGAATATTGAGCGTAATATTTTCCTATTTCAGACCACAGGTCATGAGAATAAGGATCTTTGTTTGAATTGTATCCATATTAGCTCATATTCGTGTGTCTTCTCGTACAACCGTTGAATAAACGGACGGACGGACGGACGGACGGACGGACGGACGGACGGACACACGGACGGACGGACACACTGACGGAAGTATGGATGGATAAACGGCTGCCCTAAATAACCTGCGTACAGCCCGACTTTAATTCTAGTAGTTATCAAAGCATTAGCTTCACGCCATTAACGTAACTGCTGGCGCCTAATTCAATTCAGCTATATGAAGATACAATAATCTCAGTCGGCGCTGACATCTCTTTCATTTAACTGCATGTAATCTATTAGCGCTGTTAAAGTACCATATCGCTTTAATGTAATCCGTTAATGGCAGATAGTCATTAGCTCGGCTCAGCAGCTTGTCAATACGTAGTCAATTTATAATTAATTACAATAAGAGACAAAGAAGCCTGGTGTAGTGTAAGTTATAGCAGTTCAAATGGAAACGTGTTTACCGGTACAGCACCGTGGCACTTAAATGACTTTCTTACATCAAGCATTGTGATTGGATGAATGCTTGATGTCTTTGTTTATGATTGGTTGAGAGAAGAAGCCATTTAAAAGCTCACACTTAGTACTTGTTTTTTAGTTTTAGTTTAAGGTCGGTTTATCTGGACGCATATTAAAATTAAAGCTCTCTACCCCACCCTCCCCTCCCTTAAAAGTGAAWCAATGTCTTACTCACTGCACATGAGCTCTAAGAGAATCTATTTTTAGAACCGGTGCCTGTATTCCTTGTGTGCAGCAGCGTCAGAGGAAAGTACATCAGCAGCTATAAAAATTTACTTCAGTGGTAACAAATGACTGAATACCGAGAAATTTAAATTAGAATATAGTTCTTTTTATTAAAACTTTTTACCCTAATTACACAATCTTAGTTTATCTTGTCTTGTTTAGCAGTTAAGCTTTCTTTAAACATTCTTCTTGAGCCACTCTTCAAGCTTTTCTGTCAGTTTGTCGTTTCACTTTTCCACTGAGTTTTCTTCTTGGAGGAAGGGCCAAAGAGTTTCTTGACTGGTCCTTTTCTCGTTCTGTGAAGAAAAGAAAGCATGAATTAGTAATTTTACTTACTGCGATCATTTATACGGGCCAAATATGGGCCAAATATTAGTCAACTTACGTAAGGCGCGTCTTACGCAGAGCAGCTTTCGTATGGCTGTAAAAAGCTCACGGCACGAACACGGTCATGACACGGCAAGGCATACTATAGCCAGACCAATCACATTCCTCAATAATTTACTCTCCGGCCAATCAAATACCCGCAACACGGTATAAACACGACGCGGACACGGTCACGCCGAGATCACGGCACTGTCAGACCAATCACATTACGTGAGAAAAAACTCAGCCAATAAAAATTCTAGAAAACATCACGGTCGCATGGTACGCTTACGGCACTGAGCTTTTTACAGTCATGCGATTCCAATTTTGTATTTATGTCTTTTTAGCGCATCTTACTTGAGAACAGCGTTACAGGGTTCTAAGTTAAACTGCGCCTTGAATAAGATGAGAACATACAAACAGCACTCGCGTCTTAGCCAAGACGCAACGTAACGTGCGCATGCGCAACTTTACATAAAAACGACAAATCATAAGATACGCTCGTGTAAATGGATAATATCGCAACACATCTTAATTTGCGTCGTATAAATTAACCTATTATTATCCTATGAGAAAATAGAACAGTTAGGCTTGTGTTTGGGTATAGAATATAATGTCTATAGTTATATTGCTTCTCTTATGATTGGTGTTAAGTAACTAATGACGTCCAAGTTATAATTAACACTTCTAATGATTCATAGAAAAAATACTTTTTAACATCCTAGATGTTTCGTCTTTCTAAAACTTCAATAAAACACTGCTTTTTTACTTGTAGCTCAAAGAAAAATGTGAAATCCCTGGCAAGGTTTTTGCCCTATTTAAACGTGTAGCTTAAAATCGTGTATGGTTAATACAGGTTTCGATTGTGATTAATTCGACGCATGCGCACTCGTGGGCTCCAATCCAACGTTCATTAGCAGGGAGCCATTAAGAGGTATTTATTGTTTTATTTTACGCCTGCTAGTTTACTAAAAGCCTTTATATTTTGGAATAATAAAATAGTTTAAATTGAGCTTTAGTTCAGCTGCTGTAGGTTTGAGCTAATTATTCCTATTAGTTCAAAACTGAATTGGATGGCTGTTTTCCGTTGCTCTAAATGCTGAAGCTCGTGTCAGCACGCTAAGTTATAACGAGAGTCTTTTAGAAGCCAATACCAGGCTAAACCAACATGTTTTATTGTAGTCAATGCATCTCTTTTTGTAGAAATACAGAATACTTTTATTTACTTTACATAGTGTCGCAGCACGTGTCATGGAGCTAACGTAATAGAATATTTCCCAATTTTTGTATAGTACCATATTTTGTATCTTCAATTTTCTCTCTCGCTTTCGTTCCTTTTTTTCTTTTTTTTTNTTTTTTTTTTTTTTTTTTCTTTTTTTTTTTTTCTTCTTTTCGTTTTTCAAATTTCTTTCTTCCTTTCTTTTTTTCTTTTTCTCTCCCTAAAAAAACCCCAAGAAAAACCCTCGAAGCCCACGAAGTCAGCTCATCAGGTCCGAGTAACCCATTATCGCAGCGGCGGGCGTACGAGCGGTGCAATTTAGCAGCAGGCCACTAAGTAGCGTTCTCTTAACTTATACCTAACGTTTACAGCAACTGAAAGTGAATACGTGTCAAATCAGAATATATTCCCATGAAAACGTTTCTCAAAAAATACTTTTTATTTTTCGAAAATTGGTCTTTTCGATTTGAATCAAGTTGACAGGACAACTTTTTTGCAAAAACTATTTATACCGCATTTAAAAAAATACTTCAGTCTTGGTGGGAAATAATTCAATAATTCAAAAAATGTATTTTTGATGGATTTACATGACAAAAAGTTGGTCTTTTTTAACTCGGATTCAAAGTGTGTAGYAAATTCTCTTTTGACCTCTCATAAGCAGCTGGGTCTAGAGCTGAGGCGTGGAAAGATCGTTTTCTGAGCGCCGTGCTTCGTAATGAACTAAGATTAGTTGCTTTAAGAGAGAATTCTTTTCGTACTCAAGCAGTGAGCGCCAAAAACTATTTTCTTGAAGAAAGGCTGTTGTACAAGGCTAAAATCTTGTTATTCAAAAAAGTTTAACTTGTTTGGAAGTGGAGATAACCGATGAAAGTGGAATCAAAGTGTTAACCCAAAGCAAAACTTTTAATCGAAAATGAGGTTTAGGCCTTCATTTGCTTATTTCCCATATATTTTCTATAAAAAAGCCTGTCAAAGCAACATTCTAATACAAATACAACAAAACATCTTTGTACAATTGAAAATACTGCTTCAAACAGGCATTTTATCATAGTACATCCGTTTCTAACTGTTTTAAAAAGGTTTTGAGTGCTAACCCAAAACGAAAATTGGGATCAAAACTCATACGAAAGTCTAGAAAATATTGAAAAAAAATTCCTCTTAATAATTAATTTTATCTTGTTTTATATACTAAACTTACCTCTCGTCTAATGAAACTGGTAGGGTTACCACTTCTTGTATAACAGCAGTCACAGAACTTATGGCAATTGTTCCATCGACAACATACCATTGGAGATGGATTTCTTTTTACGACTCCTGATTCAGCTGTTCTTAAATTCATCTCCACAATCAATAGAAACATCACTAAACAAATCCACTTCATTTTGGCAGAATTTGTTTATTTATCTTTGATCGAGTTTATGGCTTTAGAGTTAAGCTGTGTGCCGTCTAATGATCGACTAACTATATATATACCAACGGGACGAAATCCACACCGGATGACCATACTTTTTTTTAAGTATGCACGGCACGGCTTGCTGTTAAAAGGGCTACCAATTACGTTATTAATAGCTAAAAAAATCGGTAACACTTTTTAGTATTTGTTTGATATATCCTGCCTTTTCACTAAGAAGATGTTGAAAATTACTTAGTATTCTTTGGAAGACAGGACGTGCATTAAGGCGGTTGACAATTTGAAACTTCAATTTGGTCGATGGGCATGCTCATAAAATCAATTGCGTTCTAGATATTTCTCGGCTTTAATTACACTTTAATAGCAATGGTGTTTGTTTCATGGCAGCGTCCCACTGAACTTCTGCTATGGTGTCACTGGAGTGGGAAAGATAGAATAGAATTTAAAAAAATGAATAGAAATAGCTAGGATTTTAAAAGATTTTTCTAAGAAAGTGGAAAATAAATAGAATAGAATAGAATAAATGAATAGATATAGCTAGGAATTTTAAAGATTTTTCTACGAAAGTGGAAAATAAATAGAATAGAATGAATAGATAGATAGCTAGATTTGTAAAGATTTCCCCCAGAAAGGTGTGAGGAATAAATGGAATAAAGTAAATGAAAAGATAGCTAAGRATTTTAAAAATTTTGCTTAGAAAGTCTGGGCCCTATGTTGGACGTCTTATAATATACTAAATCTAGAACCATCTTTCTCATTCATGGTTCCTAATTCCTTTTGCTATCATATCGTTGCTATGCCCTGCTAGCTAGAATTTCTCAGAAGTTAAAACTCCGACGCGGAAAATTGATTATAAATAGTTTACTGTCCTGAGAAAAGAATAGAAAATTGCCTCGTCATCCTTGTAGTACTCTTTAAAACAGATACTGTGTAGTTGATGTGGGACAAGATTTTAATTCCACTGGGAAAGCTGTTGCAACGGTGATTGGTGCGCTAATCTCTGAGCTGAGGGGGGACCATGAATTGCTAGTATGTTGGCCCATATAATCACCATCATCATCTTCATCCCCATCAGTTCGTCATCATCATCGTTATCATA